CTGAAATGCGGTTAAACGCATCAAAAAATGCACCGCATAGCATATGTCTCTTTTTAAATTGAAGAAAGGGAAGAGAAAAAATTAACCAGAAAGCATCAAAAACGCACTGGAACGTGTCAAAAACGCACCAAAAAATGTGCATGTGGAAACACATCTGGAGCGCAGCTGGACTGTGTTTCTATAGTGTGAACTGACCCTAAACCCTAACACATATTAATTAAACAGGTTCTGGGGCTAACTGAATGCAGATAAGACAGTTAAGTTTAATTATCACCTTAATCAGCCACAGAGCATGCGTAATTATTATGTTTGCTTTTAAAGGCATGAGGTGGCAACCCTAGTGTAGGGGTGGCTTGCTAGATGCTGAAAGCCAGAAGTCAATCAGTCAGCAGGGTGGTTCCCGACATTACTGTCGGGATGCTTCCCAAGCCTGGCACAGCAGTAGCCAGTTATCAGATGACTCTGGGTCACGGGAGGACAAAACTAATTGTAGCCCTGTGACCCACTAGAGAAGGATGCCATAAAAAGCCTTGTCCATACTTAGCTACATTTAGTTACCGTTTATAAAGGGGTTTGGCTGGAGCTGAACTCTAAACCAGCCTTTCTCAACCAGGGTGCTTTGAGGTTTCTTCAGGGGTGCCTTGAGGTTTCTTCAGGGGTGCCTTGGCAACGTATCTAAAAATTGCCCAAAACTTGTATATAAGCCAGCAGATGGAACAAGCCTGCCTTTTCGTTACACAAAGCCACAGGTTTTCATTGTGCACCATTACAACCTTGTAGTCGCCAGCGTCCTGACAGCCAATGACATCACCAGTTGATAAGGAGGATGTCAGCTGCCTGCACAGCATCCTAGTTTGACCCTCCCCTGCCCCTCTTCATCAGTGCTCAGTGATGGAGAAAAACTGAGGGAGAAGAGAAACATTGGCATACTAGTCAGTACCAATGTGCAAGAGTGTATTTGCTCCGGAAGAATAAATCACCTCCAATGTTGGGTCACCTACGAGTGGATATTGCTGCATTATATAACTATTAGAATAGTTTTTCACATTTTAGAATGGGGTGACTCAAGACTGTCCATAATTTTAAAGGGTGTCTTGACTGATAAAAGGTTAGGAAACACTGCTGTAAACAAATCTTTTTCTGTCCAATTCCCACATGCTAGAACTCCCATATATCGTCCCCTTCACTGATGCACAGCCCAGCAGCAGGATCGCTTTTCCTGCGGAACTCGGAGTGCGGGCTGCTTGTTTCCGGGGGAAGGAGATCAGGACGGAGCCGGCGCTGTCATGGCTGCCTGACAACCGCACGGTGGAGCTGGATTGAGAGTGTCCTGAGCATTCTAGCGAAGCTGAAAGGTACAGAGTTGCTGGGGGCTCAGAGCTCTAGCCTCGGCTGTGAGGAGGAGTGAGTACGGGCAGACATAGAGGGGTGGCCGGGAAGAAGGGGATACTGAGGCCTGTGGAGCGGGCCCGGCCCTCCAGGGGTGACTGCATAAGAGGTTTGGGGCCTGGCCTCCTTCCAGAGGCTGTACAGTGATTAGAAGGGCCCGGGACACAGCACAGAGCACGGAGAGTGTCCGTACATGTCCTCTGACCTTTCCTGTACATGACAGGGGGAGCTGTGCTGACAGGAATGGCGCTGTACTTCCTACTTCAGCCTTGGTCCTGCTTCCTCCCGGGTCACCTTATCCCCCCCCCCCCCCGCTCCGAGCCCGTGTGTCCACTGTGTGTGCCTCTGTCCCCCGTCTATCGGTCTGTGGAGGTTCTCCTCTGTCCAGGCCATGGCATAGCTAGTAGCAGTCAGTCACATTCAGCTGGACTTGTCCTGTCACAGTGAAGACATCTGACTTCTTATCTGGAGAGCTCATAATGAGTGTCATGAACATACTCCAGGTGGCTGTAAAAACTGGGCTCTGTTCCTGACACTCATTGGGACTGAATAACCTAAACCTAAACACTTTAACACTTCTGCTTTGCAGCACTTGGGGTCACTGATTGCTGTCCCAGCCAGATACCTACATGGAGTTTGCATGTTTCCCCCAGGTATTCAGGGCAGGTCACAGCAGGAATCGCACAGGAACGTGTGGTGCGGTGCAGTTTGCGCCTATTCATTTTGATGGGCTGACTCGCAGCGGACCACACCAAAAGTAGTGCATGCTTTACTGTAAAAAATGCATTGCAACCATTTTGCCTGGTACTTCTGCCCAATGCGATCCAGTGCAGGCAAACGCACTGCGTTTGGGGTGGTGCTAAAGAGGAGCTCCACCCAAAAGGGGAAGTTCTGCTTTTAAAGGAGAAGTCCAGCCAAAGCTCTTTTGGCTGTATGTTTCCTGTGGATCACAGGAGTGCAGTTCATTCTGATGTCACTCAGCCGGTCCAGGCTGAGGAATGATCCCAACTTTGAGGGCCGGTTCACACTATAGAAACGCAGTCCAGATGCGTTTTTGCGTGCGTGTTTTTTGATGCGTTCCAGTGCGTTTTTTTTTATGCATTCCAGTTTATTTTTCTCCCCCTCTTTTACTTCAATTTAAATGGAGACATATACGTTCCAGTGCGGTTTTGGTGCATTCTGGTGTGTTTTTGATGCGTTTTCTGCATTCCAGTATAGTTCTATGCAGAAAAAATGCAAAATGTTCTATTTTTTTTCTACAGCTGAAACACACTGGTACTGCAAGCATTGAGTTGATCTAAGACATTGACAACTATATAACCTACTTTCTGTGTGTTTTGGATGCATAGAAAAAGCGACTGAAACGCATGTAGTGTGAACTGGCCTTAAAGTCAGGATGCACCCCAGAGCCTGGAGCGGCACCTGGCTCAGCCTCTCAGTGAGCCACTGAGAGCCTGAGGCACCCGTGCCCTCCCCTTCCACAGCCGTACGTTCCAGTCAGTACGGGGGGGGGGGGGGGGGGGAGAGAAGGGGCAGAGTCAGTTGACAGTCACCACTCTGCTCAGAGCAGCTGTGAGAATTCAGAATTCATGTGAGTTCTCACCCGTAGAGCTGGTAGGGGACAGATGCACCTTCGGACCGATGCTGCATCTACCTAGGTAAGTATGATCTGAAAAAAATACTAATTCCCACACTTCTCTTTTAAGGCCACCTTCCCCCCTCCTCTTTACTTAACGGCACTTTTTTTTTTTGGAGGGGGGGGGGGGGCTGGAGAAGGTGCCTGGTTTTGACAGGTACCTGCTCCCACTTCCTCTCTGACTGCCTGGGCGATTGGAGCGGAAGTAAAATCCCCCCCCCTTTTCTTTCCGTAGTCTTCTGAGACACGTGACAGGTCGCAGAAGACTGCAGGACCATTCACAAAGTGCATCATGGCACGCACATGCACAGTGGGCTACAAGCTCACAGCCTGGGGCTCACAGTATTGGGTGCCTCAATTGTGAGCACCCAGCTGTGACAGCTTGCAGCTTCACACCCAGGTGCCCACAGGTTAGATGTTGGCCTCTCTGACAGGACAGCAATGTTGAGAACAGCTTGGGTGAGCACATCACTGGTTGCTGGGACAGTTAAGTGTCTGTTTATTAAAAGTCAGGAGATACAGGTTTTCTAGTTGCTGAGTTTTTTTAATAAACACCAGTTTAACTTGAGCTCCTCTTTAACTTAACGTTTACACCCCTGCAGAATGCAGGCACAGCACATTTTTAATGTGAGATAAAAGCTGAAGTGTCTGTTCCCACTAGAATGCGGTGCAGGGAACTTGTGTTCCACGATTGTTTCCCTCACTGTGTTCTGGTGGGAACAGGCACTTCAGGCTTTATCTCACACTAAAAAAAGACATGAAGGTAGGATAAAGTGGAATTCCTGCCTAACCACAACTATTCTTCGAAATGCCCAACACCCTTCCTACTACCCATCATGCCTACCCTGTATTAAAAAAAAAGTGTATACTTACCTTTTTCCAGCTCACTCCAGTCTGGTCGTGTGATCCTGGGCTCCAAGAGCCTTCGACAAGGGCTGGGAATGCCAGGAGCAGTGAAGTCACCCATAGGCTCCCATGTTCCAGACATTGTTGGCGCTCCTTCCTCTTACCTTAAGCTGGCGGCGCATTGACAAAGGGGAGCCAAAGCTTGCAGGGTCACGTGCCCAGACCAGAGTGGGTTGTAAAAAAGGTAAGTATACACTTCTTTTTTACACTGCATAGACTTGATGAGTAGTAGTATGAAGGGGATGGGGGCATTTTTAAGAATAGTTATGGTTAGACAGGAATTCCACTTTCGCCTTCCTACATGTCTTTTTAAGTGTGAAATAGTACCTGGTGGAAACCCACACAAGCACAGGGAGAACATGGAAACTCTTCTCAGGTAGTGTCTTAGCTAGGACTCTGTCTTTTTTACATAGGCCAGGAAGCAGTGGATCCTTTTAAGAATAGTTGTTAGGCAGGAATTCCACTTTAAGTAACACTGAATTATATCCTTCTTCTCCAAAAATAATCAATAGAGATCATCTGGTCAGTGGCCCTGTAATCTGGTTGGTTGTTTTTCTTTTTTTTTTTTTTTTTTTTTTCTATTTTTCTAATGTGTTTTTTTTTTTTTTCAAAAACAAATTTTGAGTTTTGAGGAAGCTGAAAGAAATAGAAGGTACTGTTCTGAGTTAAGAATCCATACTTGAATAAAATGGGATTTTTTTTTTTTCATTTTTGTTTTTTAGACCAGAGATTAGTATCACTGTAATTGGTTCCTGTCTAAATTGCCCCTTGTTTGTGTGTGACATAGGGGCTGTAAGGCTCTTGAGAGCAGGGACTGATATGAAATTAAAAATATGTAATTGCTGTGTAAATTGTTGGCACTATATAAATGCCTGTAATAATAAAATAAAAAAAATTAAAAAAGACTACTTGGATGTTTAATTGAATGTCTCTAACATTATAGAACATATCCAGTTGAATGTGTCTATTACTAGCTATAATTTTTTTTCACATTTTGCTGATATACTTTGTACTTAGGATGTCATTATTTATTTTTCTTTTTCACAGATCTTAGATTTATAGCTGTAGCATGGCAGGAGAACAGAAGCCATCCAGTAGCCACCTGGAACAATTTATTTTACTAGCCAAAGGCACTAAAGGTTCTGCGCTTCCAGCTCTAATTAACCAAGTATTAGAAGCCCCTGGAGTTTATGTGTTTGGGGAACTTTTAGATTTACAGAACGTGCAAGAGGTAAGATGCAGCTGTTGTAAAGTTGTTCTTGCTTTACTTTTTTTTTTTTTTTTTTTTTTTATCCTTCGTAGAAAATGTAATTGCTTGTACTGCAGATTGGTAGACTCAACATGTTAATGTCCAGCAACATTGGTTCATGGGAGGAAAAATGCCTGGGAAAACAATGCTATGCTGTTGAAGGTCAGAAAGAGAAACTCCCTGGCTTTATCCGGTGAAAAAAAAAATACCTGCCATTATTTTTTAGTGACAGAAAAAAATGCCTGGTGCCAAAGGTCAGTGGTTTGGGAAAATGCCCCAACATTAAAAGGAAACATTTACTCTGCCATCAGTAGTTGAAAAAATGGTGTAACATCAATGGTTGTAAAAAAAGTACCCTGGAGTCAGCTGCTAAAAAAAATGTCCTGGTGTTAGTGGGAGAAAGAAAAGGTCTGGCAGCAGTGAGAGGAAAAAATGCCCCTGAATCTGTGTCAGTGGTAGGAAATGTGCTGCCATTGGCTGCGTGTGCATCCACAGATCTCAGATCAGCTCCCCCCCTTTCCTCCTTAACCCCTTCAAACTGCAGATCAGCTCCCCTGTATCCTCTTCAACTTGTTTAGATCTCAGATTGGGCCCCCCTTTAACACCTTCAGATCCTTTCCCCGCAATCCTTAAAGTGATGTTAAAGGTTTGGCTTTAAAAGGAAAAAAAAATAATTAAATAATCGTCATATTTACCTTCCCTGTGCAGTGGTTCTGCCCCAATCCTCTTCTTGTTGGGTTCCCTGCCAGCTTCCCACTTGACCATGCCTCCAATTGCAAGCTGCTTGCTATGGGGGCACTGGTACGTGCTCACTCCTGAGCCCTGCTCTATGCGTCCATAAGACACACAGAGCCATGTCTCAGCCCCACCCCCCCCCACTTATTCTTCATTAACTCACTGGCTATGATTAACAGTGATGGGAGCCAATTGCTCCTGCTGCTCTCTCAGCCAATGAGGAGAGGGAGACCCCAGACAGCCAAGGCTTCCATGCACATTGCTGGATCAAGTTGGGTGTTCAGGTGAGTATTGGGGTGGGGGAAGCAGCACACGGAAGGATTTTACCTTCATGCATAGAATGCATGAAGGTAAAAAAACCTTCAGCCTTATAACCACTTTAGACTCTTCAGACATCATATCCGTTGCCCGTCCTCTTTAGAGTGTTACTAAACTCATGACCCTGCATTCACTATATCTGGTCTCCCACAACACACACACCATGGAAATGCAATTATTTTAGTAAATATAAACTGCTAAATACCTTTTCTCATCAGCAGTATATAGCTGTCTTGTGACCTTTTATCAGTGTCTGGTTGAGCACTGATTAAAGCTTGAAAGAGGAATTATCAATCTTCTCTGAGTGTCCTAATGAGGCTACATAACCACAGACCCTCTGTTTGGATAGTGCTGCTTAGCCCTGTACTGATCACATGCACCCTCCCAAAGAAAAAAAAGAAAAAACTGTCTAGCAATACATACTAAAGCATGTGCAGAGTGACCCCCTATAACTCTGTACTATCAGCAGATGAACTGGGGACAGTAGAAGGGGCGGATCATAGAAGACCGGATCAAACAACCTTTTTCCACAAGGCAGAGGATTAACCCCTTAGGTTCCCACAATGAGTATAACAAGCATGCTTTACTGCATATATAGACTGATTTTACTATTGTGGGTTTAGTAACACTTTGACGCTTTCTGACCTCAAATCAGTTCCCCTTCCTCTTTAACCCCTTCAGACCTCAGATCAGTCTCCTTTCCTGCTAACCTCCTTTTCATTGTTGTGAGAACTCTGCCTGGGTGCCACAGAGCACACTGAAGTCTGTCATAGACTTTCCTTGCAACTCTATCATGTGACACTTCAGCACATGGCCAAAAAACGGGAAGAGGGGATAGTTTTCCCCACTACAGTTGTGCTGATGTGAAGTCCGTTAAAAGCACCAGGTGCTGGAATGAGCTTTTTAGCACCTGGCACCAGAACATAGTTTGTGGTTGGATGGTTGAACAACCTGGTGGTTCTACTGGGCCCCCCTCCATTGCAGGCTCCATAGTGCCCATGTGTACTGCTATAGTGGTTGTTCCTTTACTGTCTGTGACAGATTTACTACTATAGATGGGATAGAGTTCCACTCAAACCAGGCTCTTGATTAGGAAGGGAGCAGGTTTTTTTATTGTCACAGTGCGCAGATGCAGGAATTTGAGTCAAGCTTCATTAATGATATAATCTGTCTTGCTGATCTTTTTTAGTTTTGCCTTACTGTTCAACAGAATTGATAATTGCCGTCCTATATCGTCCTTTGGTATACATGCCTTTTTAGAGTATATGTAATCCAAAGTTTTTTTTAGTTTCTTTTGCTTTCAGTTTTGAATATGTTAGGGAAGGATTAGGAAATCCATCAGAATCCTATTACGGTTTGTGGGAGGTAAATTCACCCTCTATAATGGTTCTGGTGACTGAACGTGATTGGAAATCCAAACTTTTAAGTTCATCAGAGTAGGAATAGAGGGGAATTCTTCCAGTAGGGTGCACTTGTTCTAGTGACAGTTGTCTGAGAAGGAATGTCCCCTACTATGGAGAGATTTTCTATCACTTGCTGTGTGTTTTATTTTTTATTTTTTTTTTTTTTTATCTCTCTGAGACAGTAATCAATTGGAAATCTTCTCAATAGGAGACAGCAGATGCTAACATAGCAGACGTTAATATCTTCTTCCCATCTTCTGGTCTTTGGGCATCTCCATTGGCTGGCATGGGATGATGAAACTCCAGTGCATATGCAGTAGTCATCCTGGGACACCAAGGACTGTGCTGGCCATGTAAGCTGAGCTGCTCATGTGCAGCTAAGTTATATGCTGCAGAAGAAGGCGAGCAGGCAGGTAGGTAGGTGTATTTTATTGCAGATGAGACGTTGAATGTGTCTTCTTCAATTTTAGCCTGACTGCATGCCGTCGATTGTAAAATACCTGCAGTTCTGCTTTAATATTGTTCTGGAAGTGGCGTGGGAAGTGCCCATCCTGCTGCTGAAATTCAGTGCTGCCTACTCTTTGTAGCCTAAGCTACATACAATTTATACAGCAGGCATATCTAGTAGTGAAGGTAATAGTTTGTTTGCTCAATTTGGTCCAAACAAACTATTTATTTACATTTCACAAAAAGCTGAAGATTAGCTTTAACATCTGCATGCTCCTCAGTCTTTTTATGGAAGCCTGGAAATAACCTGGTACTTCCAGGTAAGAGGTAGCATGTGACTCTTCTGCTTCACACAGGGCAGATTTGAGTGCCTGGATACCTATTTGCCAGACCCTAACACTGCCAATTAGTGCAGAGTTGTCTTTTATAAGCTCTTGACTTAGAGCCAATCCAGAATTTGCATGGATTTTGGGGGTCTTAGGCAAGTGAACAGGGTAGCATGGAAATAAGTATAAGTTAAAGCTGAAACCCAGACATACATAAAAGACCTCAGCTAACGCAGCTCTGTAATGGTTAAATGTATTTTAACAAGCAGTGTAAGTACCTGAATTTGACTTATCAGCCAGTTTCAGACCCTGTATGGCAGAGTTCACAGAGAGGGAGAAGTAGCACAAGGATCCAATGAGGTGTACAAGGAGCATGTTAATAGGAGAGAGCAGAATGACGGACAGATGAGCCGTTTCTTTTTTCGCTATGTAGTAACAGTGTATGGTGGGGAGCAGACTTGTAGGTAAAAGGTAAAGGCTGAAGCCTAGTACACACAATCAGAAAATTGTACAAAAAATACCGCTTTCGAAATGATTGTACGACAATCTGATCGTTAGTACACAGCTTTTGCCCAAAATTATTCAAAGGGACAAGTACAAACATTTTTCTCGTACAATACCAGATCAGTAGATTGCAGGTGCAATGTCAGGCTACTGCAGACTGTCTGTACCTCCATATGGGTAGGTCAGAGCTGGAGGAAGTGTAATTGAACTGCAGTTCATTGAGAACTACAAGCTGTCTGCCACAGTGGGAGGTGGGACTTGTAGTTCTCTCATTCACAGATTGCTGTGGATTCACAGCCATGCTGTTTTTGAAAAGTGACAGCAAGTGCCGAGAGAGGATCCCTTTTCTGCTGTCATAAGGGGGGTGGGGGGAGATCGAAGGGGGTCTCCGACCTAAATATGGCTGTAACATGCTTCAGAAGGTGAACATATCCTTTAATTTGCCCGATACCTTGCCAGGCAGGGCTGTATGGCAGAGCTGTGTTAATATCAGGACTAAATAAACAAAAATGCAAATTTTAATGATGGGTTAACTAGGAAAAGATAAAAATTGAAAACAGGCAGGCTTTTTACTGCAGAAGAGACAAGCAATGTCTCTTGTGCAATAAAATACACCTTCCTGCCTATTCACAATCTCCTGTAAAATGTACACTGAGCTGCGCAGGTCAATTTACATTCCAGCACACTCACTATGGGCCTGGATCACTGCAGTCCTGTGCATGCAGCACCCTGTGCTAGCCTATCATGATAGGCGAAGGCTGGCATCCGGAAAAGGCCAGGTATAAGATTATGGTGCCTGCCAGGGATCTTACGGGCATAAGTCTATTGGAACAGAGGTAAGTATCTGTGCTTTTAATTTGGTTTGCTATTGGTAAATAAACTTTAAAGTTAATGACATTGCTACATTTGTAATTCTCATTGACTCTACAGACACTGTACTGCAAGTGTCAGCTTACACAGGAGAAGCGATAGCTGTTTCTGTGATCCAAAATGACAGCTAGGATTTCCCAGTAAAAGTGGCAAGAGAGCTACAGGGGAGAAGGAGAATCAACATGTACCACACATGACCAAAGTGTTTAGATGTCTTCTAGGGGCAGTGTGGTGCGGTATGCACAAAGTCCAACTGGTTAAGTATAAGCACCAGGAATGCCTGGTATCCAGAAAAAGTACAAGTTCCAGTTTTTAAACAAATCATGCACTGAGAGAAATACATGAACTTCTATTGCTAACCAAATTCTGAATATGCTAGATGACTGGCAGTCATGCTGATGTTTTGCTTTAATTTCTTGACCCAGAACAAGCAAGCAAATCAAATCAGAATGCATCTTGTTTATAATTGTTGCAGGTCAGTGACTGGGGAAGTATTCAAGCTGTTGTCTTTGTATAACATCAAGGGAAATAATATTTGCAGAAGGAGCATCTTCCATATTTTTCTCAGTACGTTTCCTTTAATCCTTTCACTGCCAGGCCCTATGGTTCACATTTAAGCTCAGGTGGCCAGACTACATATATTAGAATAGACTTGATAGAATAAAAAGATAGTGCTATTGATTTTGTAGGTCTTGTGATAGTTGCACAATGTTTATCAAACAATATTTTCGATAAAAATAGACTCAAATCAGTATTGGCACACACAATCACAATATAACTTACAACATTTCCATTAAATCTAAAAGATAAAATGGTATTGAGTTAATAAATAATTATTATCTTAAATCGTGCCTTTTTTCGGAAACAATAAAGATCAAAGGTATGCAAAACTGGAAATAACTTGCTCTAAAACTCTGGAGGCATGCTTTACACCTGAATGTCACAGAGTGACTAGCACAGAGACTGTGTTACTTTGATATTTGTTTATTCAGAAGACGAGAGTCACAGTACCTGTCTAGAAAGCTGAGTGAAAGGAGACTGGGGCAGAAGCAAGGCTGCATCATCAGATGTACATAAGTTAGTCCTTTGGGTACACGTCTGTGGAATTTTGTGTGTGTGAGTGTTTGTTTATTTTTTCCAGTACTGGAAGCTTTCGGGAAATTTTAAGGGTCTAAACAGACTCTTGATATTTTCCCTGTGAGAGAGAGTTGATAGTGAGCTTAAAGCAAAAAAGAATGCTAAGGACTTATGGCCTACTGAGCTGGCAACTGGAAATGCTTCTGTGCTGATGTAAGCCTCATGTCCTTGGCAGAGAGAGGGTTAAAACAAACTAACTCCTGATTCTCTATTCATTCTGGTTTACCCCACTGTATTCAAGTGTGCTGACTGGTGGTCCTTTGTTCTAATTTTTCCTTTTTTTGAAAGTATAACTAAAGGCAAAACTTTTTTTTTTTTTTTTTTTTAGTTTTGGATAGAGTGGAGAGGGATTAGAATACTTATTATTATTATTATTATTATTATTATTATTATTATTATTATACAGGATTTATATAGCGTAAACAGTTTTCTCAGCACTTTACAATATGACAGGAGACAATACAGCAACAATACAGTTCAATACAAGAGGGATTTGAGGGCCCTGCTCCTTGGAGCCTTACAACCTATTAGGTTCTAATTCTGTGTCCCCGATAGAGAGATTCACCCCTCTTTGTCCTGTTTGCTATTATTACTGAAAGTAAAAGAAAAATCCCAAATTTTGGGTTGTTCCCAGAAAAGTAATGCAGGGAAAATCTTCCAAATTGGGACTCTAGTCCTGGTGACCTGGGGGTCCCCAAATGATTTCCTTTAATTTGAAGGGATTTCCTCTTACTTTCTGTTTGGCTATGGGACAGGAAGTGAAGGGAAATCTCACAGATGGGGATAGGGGGGGGACCTGACAGGGGTTATAACCCTCCCTTATTCTATCCAAAATGAAAAAAAAAAGTTTTGCCTATAGTCCATAATTTATGACCATTTTTCTTGTTACTCTCAAATTTAGGGTGTAACATGATCCATGCATCCCAGGAATGTAAACAAACAATTCTTACCCTGGCAAAGGGACTATGCACATCACTGTTGATCCCTGTTTCCGTGATCCCCCTCCTCTCCTGTAGTTCTAGCAGCACGTCCTCTGTTAGGTCTATACCTGTGTACAGACCAGAGACTGGGAGAAGACTTGCAAGAGCCTGTGCAATGCACCCACGATGCACTGGTTTTTACAATGATCTGCAGGCTTCCTTGCAAAAAAAAAAAAAAAAAGTAGATGCACATTGATAATGAGATTAGTGTTGCTGCATTTACTATAATTTTTTATGGTGTGTTTGTTTAATATCCTATTACCTGCCATTGAGTAATGTCTGTCTGTCCAACTACTTAGAGCGAAACCCTGCTTTACCATCTAGATCCTTCTTGGAAGGACTTAAGTGAAAACCATGGAGTTATTTTGTTGGGAGGCTGCCAGCCCAAAAGCTTGGATGGCAGTAGTTGGCATTGGAAAGCAAATTGCAGGCTGGACATTTAGGCTTTCTCAGATTGTGTGCTGGAGATCGTGAGCTCCGTATCCATTAGGACCGTTAGCTGGCAGTCATGGATTACATACAAGTGCCTTGTTTGTACAATACTGTTTTAATTTTGAATGCAGAAAAGTGATTAGACTGCTATATGCCAGAGGAGCTGATCAACTTTACTATGTGCATGTTTACATGGACTAACAGACCAGCAGTTGTTTCACAGGTAAGCTATGTAATCTTGTACATACATTTAGTTTATTTACACTTTCTTTTTCTTTTTTTTTTTCTTTTTTAAGTTGGCTGATAGTCCGCATTCTGGATACCTGCAGCTCCTCAACTTGTTTGCTTATGGAACATATCCAGATTATGTTGGTAAGAACTACTTTATTTGTGTACGCTAAACATAAACCTAGATCAGACAGCATCTATTGGTGTGTATTTTTTTTTCTCAGTGTGGCATCTGGTGGTTATAACTCTCCCAAAGCAATACAGCAGGATACTTACCCCAAATTGTTCTCATCTTTTGTTTTACCATAAGTCAGGTGTGCCAGTTGTTTTCAAAATCTAATAGCCAGCTCCAAAATGTTAGACAGCTACAACAAACTTTGTTTTGATCTCTAGTTTGTAACTTTCACTGCCCAACCCCCACCCCTCAAAATAGTGGCTATATACATGCGTACAGCAGCAAAACACACACACACACACACACACACACACACACACTATATATATATGTATGTATGTATGTTTTATCAACCTGCCTCCATACCTCCCAACTATGCATAGCAGCTTTTTTATATTTTCATACACTGATCACTCATAACTTCATGACCACTCACCTAAATATTGAGTAGGTCCCACTTTGGTACCAAAACAGCCCTGACCTGTGGAGGCATGGAGGCCACTACACCTATGAAGCTATGCCATGTTATCTTGCACCATGTTGTCAGTAGCAGATCCTCGAAGTCCTGTTAGTTGCAAGGTGGGGGAACTACATGGATTGGACTTGTTTTCCCAGCACATCCTACAGATGCTTGATTGGATTGAGATCTGAAGAATTTGGCAGTCAAGTCAACACCTCAAAACTTGTGTTCCTCAAACCATTTCTAAACCATTTTTGCTGTGTGACAGGGCACATTACCCTGCTGAAATAGGCCACTGTCTTTGGGGAATACCATTTCCATGAAGGGGTGTACTTTATCAGCAGCAATGTTTAGGTAGGCAGTACATGTTAAGTAACTTCCACATGTAAAGCAGGACTCAAGGTTTCCCAGCAGAACATAGTATCATACCGCCTCTGCCAGCTTGCTTTCTTCCCATACTGCATCCTGGTGCCATTTCTTCCCCAGGTAAGCAACGCACATGCACCCGGCCATCCACATGATCTAAAAGAAAATGTGATTCATCGACCAAGCCACCTTCTTCCATTGCTCTGTGGTCCAGTTATATTGCTTATGTGCTATTGTTGGTGCTTTTGTCAATGGACACAGGTCAACACCTGTTTTCAACACATCTTCAGGGACAACTTATTTACTTGCTGCTTAACGTATCTCACTGACTTTCAGATGCCATTGTAAGGAGATAATCAATGTTATTCACTTAACCTATCGGTAGTTATAAAGTTATGGCTAATCAGTATGGGTATGTACTTAAAAATTCAGAATGCACGTGGCCGAAAACTGTAATGTCTGGTTATGTGAGGGCGGGGAGGCTCAAATGTATTTATTTACTTTTAATGTGTATTTTTATACATATGATTTTATTGCTATCTCATAGGGGACCAATAGTCCCCTATGTGATAGTATATGAGTGATGGGTCCTCTTTGTAGGGGGGGGCAGTGTGTGCAAGGAGGGGGCAGGAGAGGAACAGTGTATACAGTGAGGGAGCAGTGTATACACTCGAGCTCCCTCACTGACTGCCGCTGTATGTCAGTGCCAGTTTTTAAATTTAATTACCAGCTTTTTTTTTTTTTCTTCCCCTTCCCCAAGAAGGAGCTGTCATTCTCCCCGCCGCTAAAGGAAACAAAGGCGCAGGGTCACCCAGCGACATTGCCCAGTGACCCCACCCCTTTGTTTCCTTTAGCGCCTGGGAGAATGACAGCTCCTTGGAACTATAGTGAAGGGGAAAAAAAAAGACAGTAATTACATTTAAAAACCGACAGTGACATTTTAGCGATAGCTCGCTGCATACACTGCTCTTCTCTTGCCTTTTAGATGGCCGCCACCCCCCCAACTCCATCTGCAGTACACACAGCCCCCCATTACCAGCACAATACTGATAGGACTATTTTCGGCCAATATGTTTTGGCCGCCGAAACTTCGGTACATCCCTAATTTTATAATAATGCTAAAAGCAAAACTGTTTTCGTTTTGGTTTGGGTAGAGTGGTGAAGGGTTGTATCCACTGTTAAGTTTTTTAATTGCTGTCTTTCTCACCATTAGAAAGATATACTCCTCCTTATTGCCTGATTGCCAATGTCACCAGGCATGGAAGTGAGGGCATATACATGATTTTAAGTTTCCAGCATGGCAGGCATAGGGGGGAAATCCTTTTATGGGGACACTTGCTCCTGTGACTACTGTTTAATAGAAGATGTCCCTCACATTGAAAAGAAACCGTTTCACTTCCTTTTTAGAGTCTGCAGGAGAGAAATTTAAGGGAAATTTCCCCAATGAGAGATTGGGGGGGGGGGGGGGGGGGGGGTTCTGACAGTGGTTTCAACCCCCCCCCCCCCCCCCCCCCCTACGGGATCCAAAATGGAAAGAAAAAAGTTTTGGCTTTGGATATACTTCAATGACAGTAATGACTGTATTTCTTCAACTGCTTGAGCGCATTTTGTATAAATATTGTATTCTAAAAGAAAACCAATAATGAATTCACTATAGGATAAGTGTCCTTAGTAGTAACTATGGATCTATGAAAGACATTTTACCAAACCAACCTGTTAACAGTCTATGAGGAAGTGATCTGTAATCTGGATAGAGGAAAGCCTGTGGACATGGTGTATCTGGATTTCGCCAAAGCATTTGATACAGAGCCCCATAAATACTATGTTTACAAATTGAGGTCTGTTGGCATCAACAATAGTGTGTACCTGGATAGAAAACTGGTTACAGGAGCATGTCGAAAGGGTGATGATAAATAGTGTATCTTCTGAATGGTCAGGAGTTGTAAGTGAGGTATCCCAAGACTCTGTCCTGGAACCATTACTGTTATACCTAGTTCATAATTGATATTCATGTTGTTATAAATGGTTCAATCTCAATGTTTGCTGTTAATGCTAATGCAAAGCTAAGCAAGGCAATAACTTCACAACAGTCTATAGCAGCTTTACAAGAACATCGGTAAAATAAAAGGGTGGGCAACTACATGGCAAATGAGGTTTAATAGTGAAAAATGTAAAGTAATAAGCTGGTGGGTTAAAAATAAGGATGTCAGTTACTCACTAGGGGAAAAAAAATGTCTGGGGGAATCTAGGATGGAAAAGGATCTGGGGGTCCTTTTTCATACTTACCTGCTCTGTACAGTGATTTTGCACAGAAAAGCCCTGATACTCCTTTTCTCGGGTCCCCCGCTGGCACTCCTGGCCCCTCCCTCCAGTGGAGTGCCCCGCAAGCAAGCAGCTTGCTGCACTGCGTGTCCATTCACACACACAATGCAGTACGCCCCCCCCCCACTCTTTTGTCAATGGCTGACTGGCTGTGATTGACAATGCCTTTTACAACCACTTTAACCTTAACTGTGTAGAGAGTTCTTTACTGTTAGATCAGAAAGGATGTGGAACTCCCTTCCACAGTTGGTGGCATCAGTGAGAAGTGTTGACAATTAAAAAAAGTTTGGATGTGTTTCTTCGTGAATGCAATAAACTGGAAATGAGAAATGGTAGTGACTAACACACACATGCAAGCACACACATTGAACTGGTGTCTTGATTCAACTTTTCAAACTTTTAAATATAAAACACCATTGCCATGATTGGGATGAGATGCAACTTATTGCATATTATCTCTGTAGTTACCTTCCTGTCTCTCCTCCTTTTGTTTTACCATCACAAGGAATTTAGAGAATTAATATTTGCTAACACAGGAACAAATAGTGCAGGTGCAGAGATAACCTCTGTGTTTGTTTTTGATGTTTTTTCCTGTCCCTTCTTCAGGGTGTCACTAATGGGTGACTAGTAGAGAAACAGAATTGCTTGGACGCTTGTTGACTCAAAACACAAGACAGGGTCAGAGTGCTTATTTAAAAAGCTGGGTGATGACTGGGGCAGGAGACAGGCTGTATCATCAGATGTACATGATGGGATCCTCTGGGTACACCTGGTCCTCAAAATGAATTCCTTTGCCTCTAAAAGCAATAGTGGCATTGCATTTTGAATGTTTTAACAGGTTAGTATGGTAAAATGGTTTGGACATCCAAGTCACTAGAAGACTTTCCTGTAAACATAGTGGCTTGGCAATTTGGATGTGTCCATCATTGCTATAAATGACTAAAATGTCTTTGTATTAGCTTTCCATATTCCTCTACATATCAGGACATAAACTAAGTAATAGCAATCACTGTTGAGTCATTCAGGCTACTTTGTACTTTTGTTTCACACTTGAGTTACTGAAGAGTTACTAAATTAAAGTTTTGGTAATTCACATATATGAATTTCTCTTGTACACTTAGCTGTGTTTTTTTTCTTCTTAATTTTAGCAATGAAAGACAGCTTGCCAGAGCTCTCAGCTGCACAGCAAAACAAGCTAAAACATCTGACAATTGTGAGCCTTGCATCCAGGATGAAGGTACATTGTAATTCTTGGTTCATGCATATGGTAAATGTAAACCTAAATGACTGTGCCAGGTGCCACCAAAGGCTGTCAAATCCTAATAAATTCCTGCCAACATTTACAAGTATGTATATCCTAACACAAACATCAACTGTATACAGCAGTACCTGTGTTTATAACTAACAGCTTAAACTGTTCCTGACTGTCAGCCTGGGAACAGGAATTGGACTGTGGTTGACTCCTTGGCCACTCTTTTTGTTGGCTGGGGGCAGGTAATCTTTAGAGGAAAAATATATATCTGGAATTATCTTTAAAGAAACAATCTGTGAAAAAAAGTTTGTAAACTCATAAAATGTTATTGGATGTGTTTTTAGAAAGGCCTGCATCTGTTTTTCTCGGCTGTTCTGCTAGATGAATCTCTGCATATGGCATCACTCACTTTTTCCATCTTTTCTATTCACAAAATTCTTTTCCATCTTTTTGTTTCTCACCATTCTAGAAAATGAGGTTGTATAAATGAGCTAAGGAAATACAGGAGAAATCACGAGGACATGCATAGAAAAAAAAAATCATTAACCCCCTAAGCACCACTGTGATTTAAGTCTGTTTTGATAGCTGGAGCCATATTCATGGTTGGCACAGTGTCTGTTTACAATATAGGAAAATACGAGACCTGGTGCAACAGACTGTGTACAATGTTGTACTTGGTCTGTTTTCCGTATTGACTATATTTTGATAGAAATAGCCAAGCCTATACCTGACCTTGAGCTGCAGGATTAATGCTAATACAGTTTTCTCCTGATAGCACCAATACAGGTTTTGCCTTTTTGGTATTTGTTACATTATGGGGGCTTGCTACCAAGCAAGGATAGCTGACCACCACGCTGTCTCAGAATTAATATAAAAAAGCCACTTTGAGTGTCCTTTCTTTGTAAACTTTTAGGCTTCAGGGATTTATAAAGAACATGTTAAAGTAGAAGCGGCGTCACAATAACTCGCATACTGAAAGGCTTGTTTAGGGTAACAACTGTAACAATGTGGAATAGACGCCTTCAGGAAAGGATATTCACAGAGCTTGTAAAAGACATCAAGTGCGTGTAACCTTATTATAAAATCTTCGGGCATTCTCTAAGATTTGTGCTTCTTCTTAGTTCCATGCAATGACTTTATTTTGATAGCAAGGATAAATCTAGTTTCATGCATGCATGTTATTGTTTTAATATAGTTGCATGTTTCTCCCTCTTAGTGCATTCCATATTCTGTGCTGCTGAAAGATTTGGATATGAGAAACCTCAGAGAGCTGGAGGATCTAATCATAGAAGCAGTTTACACAGATATCATTCAGGGCAAACTGGATCAGCGCAACCATGTGCTAGAGGTGGATTTCTGCATTGGACGGGACATTCCCAAGAAGGATATTAGTAGCATTGTTAAAACTCTTCAGGAGTGGTGAGAATCCTTTTATTTACATACTTGGTACAGAGAATGCTTTTGTGTGTTAAATGTAGAAAAAACAATGTACCCATCTTATTTACAGTGGATATAAAAAGTCTACACACCCCTGCTAAAATGTTAGGTTTCTGAAATGTAAACAAATGAGACAAAGATAAATCATTTCAGAACATTTTTCACTTTTTTAATGTGATCCGTAAACTGTAAAATTCATTTGAACAACAAACTGAAATCTTTTAGCTGGAGGAAAGTAAAAATAAAAAACTAAAATAATATGGTTGTATAAGTGTGCACACCCTTAAACTAATACTTTGTTGAAGCACCTTTTGATTTTATTACAGCACACAGTCTTTTTGGGTATGAGTCTATCAGCATGGCACATCTTCACTTGGCAATATTTGCCCACTCTTCCTTGCAAAAACACTCCAAATCTGTCAGATTGCGAGGGCATCTCCTGTGCACAGCCCTCTACAGATCACCCCACAGATTTTCGATCAGATTCAGGTCTGGGTTCTGGTTGGGCCATTCCAAGCTTTCATCTTCTGGTGAAGCCTTTCCTTTGTTGATTTGGATGTATGCTTTGGGTCATTGTCATGCTGAAAGATGAAGTTCCTCTTCATGTTCAGCTTTCTAGCAAAAGCCTAAAGGTTTTGTGCAAATATTGACTGGTATTTGGAACTGTTCATAATTGTACCTTGACTAAGACCCCAGTTCCAGCTGAAGGAAAAACAGCCCCAAAGCATGATGCTGCCACCACCATGCTTCACTGTAGGTATGGTGTTCTTTTGGTAATGTGCAGTGTTGTTTTTTCGAAAAACATATCTTTTGGAATTATGGCCAATAAGTTCAACCTTGGTTTTATCAGACTAGAACACATTTTCCCACATGCTTTTGGGAGCCTTCAGACGTGTTTTTTGCAAAATTTAGCCAGGCTTGGATGTTTTGTAAGAAAAGGCTTTCGTCTTGCCACCCCATAGCCCAGACATGAAGAATACAGGAGATTGTTGTGACGTGTACCACACAGCCAGTACTTGCCAGATATTCCTGCAGCTTCTTTGATGTTCCTGTAGGACTTTTGGAAGCCTCCCAGACCAGTTTTCTTCTCGTCTTTTCATCAATGTTGGAGGGACGTCCAGTTCTTGGTAATGTCACTGTTGTGCCATATTTTCTCCACTTGATGATGACTATCTTCACTGTGCTCCATGGTATATATAATGCCTTGGAAATTATTTTGTACCCTTCTCCTGACTGATACCTTATAACAATGAGATCCCTTTTGATGCTTTGGAAGCTCTCTGCGGACCATGGCTTTTGCTGTAGGATGCGACTAATAAAATGTCAGGAAAGACCTACTAGAACAGCTGAACTTTATTTGGGGTTAATCAGAGGCACTTTAAATGATGGCAGGTGTGTACTGACTCCTATTTAACATGATTTCGAATGTGATTGCTTAATTCTGAGCACAGCTACATCCCCAGTTATAAGAGGGTGTGCACACTTATGCAACCACATTATTTTAGTTTTGTATGCTTACTCCCTCCCCTAAAAGATTTAAGTTTGTTTTTCAGTTGAGTTGTACAGCTTATAGGTCACATTAAAGGTGGAAAAGTTCTGAAATGATTTATCTTTCTCATTTTTTTTACATAACAGAAACTTGACATTTTAACAGGGGTGTGTAGACTTTTAATATCCACTGTATATAGCAGTAGTACTTTCTACAGCTCTTTTGCAGTTTCTCTTCCAGCAGTTACATCAATCCTTCCTAAAATGTCCATACCACAGTAATGGTCATTTTGAATAAAAGCTTTGTTTTATTGGGGTTAAAAAAACTGCACCCAAAGTTGATTTTTGTTTTGATAGGATGGCCAGGTCTTCAAAGATAGTGTACTGACAATGTTCATGAGGGAAGGGATCATTAAAGAAAATAGGGAGGTTTCCATTGTCGGTCCCCTGAAAATGCAGGTTTCTTGGCTGTTTCTGGGAGTGTATTTGAAAAATGACACAGAACAAGAACGTGGATAAGAAAATCGTAGTGCATACAGATGTACATACTTTAAAATGTACTGTGAAATGGGGGTGCAGCGCTAATAAAAAACTAAATATATCTGTAAGTATGTCTCCAATATAAAGTTCACAAATAAACTGTTCAAAAAGTGAATAAAAACAGTTCAAAAAGTGACTCTTGTGCTCTTGCTATTTTGGAACCGGTGTCCGTGCAGTGATATTGTAAGTAATACGCACTCACCGGACGCGCATATAAAATGCGCCTTTTTATCAATATTCCAGGTGTCGTCAAGGGGAGTCAGGAACTAGGTGGTCTTCCCTCTAAGGGATGGTCGGTCATCAGACAGGATCGTTGGGGCTTTGAGTGATCCACGCCACCAGAGTTCCCCTTAAGGGGTTAAGCCGGTATTGCTCCCTGGATGGGAGATTCCCTCTCTGGATACAGGGGTCCGTCCTGAGGCAGTGTATCTGAGAATTGAAGGCTCCCCGAGGGGGTTAAAACAAAGCTACATCCATAGTGTAGTAGGTTTAATGAAAATAAATTTACTGAGGTAAGTTTAAAATTGATGCATCAAAGGTAGATAAGATGAACAAAAGATATTCACTGTGCAAGGGACTGACCGTCCAGTATTAAAGATAAATGTGACGTCACGGCGTGATATGGCTCCTCCTAAATATTGTTTTATTTAGATGTACATACTTGTTCTAGGGTCAATGATTCACAAAGTACTGAATCACTTGGATTAGCATGACAGCCAGGGAACAAGTGTTCCCACAAGGAGGCTCGCAGTGGTTGCTTCTTTCAAATAGAATCTGTTTTGTGAGAAATACAGAGGCTGCTTTTCCTGAACATGCTAGACACCTGGCTGTCTCTGGGTTCAGTAGTCTTTGACCTAATGTCTGGAATCCCGATCTACATACTTGTTCATGGGTAAGAGAGCCAGAACATATAGACAAAGCCCCTTGATTAGTGTGTCAAACCAGACTACTCGCATTTTCAGAAAGATAAATCTGTGTTGGTTTCTTTACATAAATGTGTTATTGTGCTTAATAGGGGCCTCATCTAAGATCTAAATGGTCCACAGCGTTGTGTCCTGTTTTTTTTTTTTTTTTTAAATCCGTTTGATTCTTACATACAATGTATTTGTATCTAAGCAGTTGTTTTGACATCATGTTTTGTGGTACAAATTTAAGATGTTTGTATGTAATGTGTAATTATCAGTAGTTCACGGAGGAGAAAATGCCTCTAATGGCAAATATCTACAGTATCCTAGACTTTGTCCCATAGCTGGCTTGGTATAATTGGCTTTTTTGGTCATTATTATTTTTCCTTTGTTCTGAGATGGGGATGTGAAATGTTTTTACAGTACTAAGCATGCTTCTGATTTCCAAATAACTTTATATCTCAGGTGTGATGGCTGTGAGGCGGTTTTAATGGGGATTGAACAGCAAGTGCTACGGGCTAACCAGTACAAGGAGAACCACATCCGCACACAGCAGCAAATAGAGACAGAGGTGAGTGTAAGAAAACTGTTTAAGCATGCAAGTGGTCTATTGTAGCTCACCATTACAGGCTAAATATATATTTTGCACAGTTTATCAGTATTGCTTTTTGCTATCGTTTCCCAAAAAAGGTACACAGGGCTCAAAAGACAACAAACATTAAAATGAAAGAAACCAGCAGTAGTGCCTATAACGCACAACTATTAGGAATCTGCTAAAGGTTAACTTCAGACCTACAGAAAGTGGTTCAATTAAATAATCAGCATGATCTGCCAGTAGAATGATTGGGGCATTATATATTATATTTATTATACTTGTATAGCGCTGTCAATTTACGCAGCGCTTTTACATATAAATTGTACATTCACATCAGTCCCTAACCCTCAAGGTGTGTACAATCTAAGGTCCCTAACTTACATTCATACACATACTAGGGACAATTTAGACAGGATCCAATTAACCTACCAGCATGTCTTTGGAGTGTGGGAGGAAACCCGAGTACCCGGAGGAAACCCATGGAGGCACAGGGAGAACATGCAAACTCCAGGCAGGTGGTGCCATGGCTGGGATTCGAACCAATGACCCTAGTACTGCCAGGCGGAAGTGCTAACCATTTAGCCACTGTGCTGCCCATCTGTATCATCTCACTGGCCAGCCAATCACAAGTATGACCAGTGCAAACACTGTCAGTTTTGGCTCCATCTCTAGAGGATTGTAAAGGCCATATAGAAATGCTTACCTGAGGGCAGAATGCCCAGGGACGCCTGCAATTGTTGCCATAGGGAACTGATATCCTCTGCATCAGGCAACATTGATGTTACATGTAAGGATGCTGTTAGTGTGAAGGTTGTTGAAATGATCAGTTTGACAAGAGGCCATGTTTTACCTTTCTTGAGCTTTCAAAGTTGCTGTCCGTTGTGTTACTACTCTGCCGCTGAATAGTGTGGATATTACTTCCTATTAAAAGGATTTAGAGTGTTGAAGTGATCACTGGAATATGTTCATAACGTGACAGATCTTTGACACATCAAACGACTTTTGACCAGTATTGCCACCATATACTAGAGAGGCTCTCTATTGCAAAATGGGATGCTAAGTGGTGTGCCAAACTCCACAAGCTTTTTTGTGATGTAACGGTAATAAAGTTTTCGCTCTATTCCAATCTGCAACTGTCATGACAAACGGTCAATAATTCAGTAGAACATGGCAACATGGGGGCATTTTGAAGACCATTTGGGTACAGATGGCCACAGAAATAAAATTTCCTCTTATTTATTTGAGGATGAGAAATTAAGTTGAAAGCAAAATTGTACTCCTCAACCTTCTACCCCCCAACCACATGGCTTATTTGTGTCTCCTGCACCTAACAAGCTAATCCCATTGTATCCATGACTGGAAGGTATCACTAATATTCTTTTCAATACTTTTATAGTTCTTTTTACTGATTGAATTATCCATAAAGTTTTGTAAATTTTTTTTAGTCAGCTACTCTGCATGCGTGATTTAATTACCTGCTTTTAGCAGTCTGTTCTTTACAGCTGTTGTACTTTTTTTTTCTTTTTTCTTTTTAATTCACTTTTCAGGGTTCAGCACCCACATCAGTAACCATTTATTAAGTGAGCCAGAGAGCTATTAAATAGGTTACCCCACCTCTGTTTATTGTTGTTTTTGTTTATTTCCTAGTCCAATTGTACAATATACGCTAAACATACCTATCCCCTGTCCAATAGCACATTATGGAGAATATGGTGCGGTGTATTTAACACCAGGTAGATTTAATGCATCACAACATTTTGTGTTTTGTGTGGGTTTTTTTTTGTTTTTTTGTACAGCTCGGTAAACAGCTTTAAACAGTAACAGTAATTTAAGTTCAGTAAACATTTAAAACTTTTTTTTTTTTTTTTTTACAATATGCATACATCAATCAGAGGGGTTGTGTTGTGTTTTTTTTTTTTTCTTCAGTGAAAGTGTAGTTACAATTAAAGCAATTCATAAGATGTCAAGGGCTCTGGTTGCAGGATGCGTTTATACAGATTTAGTGTGACTAAATTAAATGTAAATGTGGGTACCTTTTTTATAAAGTCTTAGCCACTTTTGGCACATTGCCTAGCCATATTGGGTAACCTCACTTATTTCTGTGACCATTATACAGTGCAGCTAACCCTACAGTTCAGTAAGCTACCTTGTTTGCCCAGCATGCAATTTTATCTTTCGCTGAAGAACCTAAAGAGTGATCAGAAAATCATATGGTCCTCTTATGGCAAGCACGGACCTTTATCCTCTCCATGTTATTGGCAGATACAGTTTAGGTAAAGCTTACCTACTGTATGTAACCTTGAGTCTTAAACTACAGTTACAGAAGTTATACAGAACATCATCCATGGGTTTCTAAAGAAGGAAAAGTTACTATTGTGAATAGCAATCAAAATTTCTGTAGAAAACAGACTGTGTGTGCACAATTATTGGGTAAGTGAGTATTTTGACCAAATCACCATTTTTATGCATATTGTCCAAATCCAAGCTGTATAAACTTGAATACTTATTGTATTTAAGCATATCTTGTGATGTGTATTTGTGTAAGGCGGGAGGGTGTGGCCTAAGGAGATCACCACCGTATATCAAGGTGTGCATAATTATTAGGCAGCTTCTTTTCCTCAGGCAAAATGAGATTTAACTGACTTTGAAAAGTCAAAAATTGTAAAATGTCTTTCAGAGGGATGCAGCACTCTTGAAATTGCTAATATATTGGAGCATGATCACAGAACCATTAAATGTTTTGTTGCAAATAGTCAATAGGGTCGCAAGAAACGTGTTGAGAAAGACACAAATTAACTGCCAAAGATTTGAGAACCTGAAGCTACCAGGAACCCGTTATCCTCCAGTGCTGTCATATTCCAGAACTGCAAACTATTTGGAGTGCCCAGAAGTACAAGGTGTTCAGTGCTCAGAGACATGGCCAAGGTAAGGAAGGCTGAAACCCGACCACCACTGAAAAAGACACGTAAGCTGAAACATCAAGACTGGGCCAAGAAATATCTGAAGACTGATTTTTCAAAGGTTTATGGACTGATGAGATGAGTGACTCTTGAGGGACCAGATAGATGGTCCCATGGCTTGATCAGTAACAGGCACAGAGCCCCACTTCAGCTCAGATGCCAGCAAGGTGGAGGTGAGGTACTGCAATGGGCTGGTATTAAGATGAGCTAGTTGAACCTTTTCGGGTTGACGATGGACTCCTAATCAACTCCCAAACCTACTGCCAGTTTTTAAAGACATTTTCTTCAAGCAGTGGTACAGGAAAAAGTCTGCATCTTTCAAGAGGATGATATTTATGTAGGACAATGCACCATCCCATGCATCAAAGTATTCCACTGCGTAGCTATCTAGTAAAGGCCTTAAAGATGAATGACAAGGCCCCCTTCCTCACCTGACCTAAACCCTATTGAGAACTTGCGGGCCCTTCTTAAACTGGAAATTTACGGTGAAGGAAAACCGTACACCTCTTGAACAATGAAGTTGATCGTCACCAAGAAACTGACAGACTCCATGAATGGAAGGCTCATGACTTTTTAAAAAAAAAAAAAAAAAGGTGGCTATATTGGTCACTGATATCTAGATGGATGGATAGATGGATTTCTCTCCAGCAAATTTTTTTTTTTTTTTTTTTTTTTTTTTTTTTTTCCTTTTTAAATGTAATTTTGAGTTGTTTTTTTTTTTCACCTGTTTAACGTGAGAATAATAAACAAGTGAGCTGGTAAAATTTTCATTTAATTGCATAATAATTCTGCACACTAATAGTTGACCAATAATTATGCACACATGGATATTCTCCTAAGAAAGCTAAAATCTCACTTTTACTTTCTTAAATATTGAGGTTTGAGGTGTATTAACATTTTGGATTCACAGAGAACACTGAGTTGTTCAATAATTAAACTAATCCTCAGAAATACAACTTGCCTAATAATTTGTGCACACAGTCTACAACATTCAAAAATGAAGTAAAGTATAGGGGCATTCTGTTGTGCTATAGGCAGAAAGAAGTTTTATACTTTGAGACTCGTATACAAAAGCCACAGTGTCAGCCAGGTGTTGTTATAAGATGCTTATGTCACACTACGGTTTCATTTCCAAAAGGAAAAGCAAGTAGTAGATGACGTACGGCACTAGATAGTCAACAATCACAGACACTTGTTCTCATTTCTACTTTCTCCAATGTAAAAAAACAATGCTATACTGTAGATACTTAGTGTTACTAAACACACAACAGTAAAATCAGTCTGTATAAGCATTAAAGCATGCTTGTTATACTCATTGTGGAACCTAAGGGGTTAATCCTCTGTATATTGTAAAAATGCTGTTTGATCCTGACTTCTCTGATCCTCCCCTTCCAGTGTCCCCTCTTATCTCCTGATAAGACATATCGTGTAGAGACACTCTGCACATGCTCAGTTTGGTGTGTATCGCTCTTGGGAGAGTGCATGTGATCAGCCAGGGCCAATCAGCACTGTCCAGACAGAGGTCAGGGCTCCTGCATCCTCCAAGAGTAGAAAAAAAAAACGCCTCCTACAAGCTTTAACCAGTGCTCTGCTGAACATTGATAGAAGTAACAAGACTGCTCTAACTGCTGATGAGAAAATGTATTTAGCAGTTTGTTTACTAAAATAATTGCATTTCCATGTTCTGTATATTGTGGGAGACCAGATAGAAAGAATGCAGGGTCCTGAGTTTAGTAACACTTTAAACACAAACATTTAAAAGTTTAAAGCATAAAAGTATAACGACACAAACGAGTTCTGTGACTGCACCCTCATTTGACATAAGTCTGTTCTAATGTCAGTGGAGGGCAGTGGATGTTCCTTTTAAAACCAGCAGAGGGCAGTACTTTCCTTTTTGTATGCCATGTTCTTATTCAAAGAGAAGTTATAGTAATTTAATGTGTGGTTTTTATATATTGCTTTGCATTTGAATTTGCGTTTTTTTGGAGTTTTACCTGTTTTAAAATGTCTCAACCTAGAATTTAAATGGATTTTATGTCACTGATATACCCAAAATAATGTGAAGTGGTAAAAAAAAACCCTGAAAAATCTTGATTGCACACGTTTTCACTCCTTTAGCTGTGAAGCCACTAAAAAAAAAGAACTGGTGCAGCTAATTGCATCCAGATGTCCTATAATTATATGGAGGGAGTCCATCTGAGTGCAGTGACACCTGATCTCAAAATAAATACAGCTGTTTCGGAAAAGCCACATAGTTTGCTAGAAAATATATCTAAACAGTATCAGTAAGACCTAAGAGTTCTCAAAACAAGCTTGTAATAGCGTTTTGAGGAATCACCATTCAGTGTTGGGTTGTTTAAAAAAAAAAAAAAAAAAAAAAAACCCTCAGTGCACTGTCAAATCCATTATTAAAAATTATATCCAAATGTGACTCTGCTTAGTGAAGACTGACCCATAGCTTAGTGACTGGGTAGCAAGTAAGTGGCCAGTGGTTACTCTGAAGTAGCTGAACAGATCCACATCTGAGATAAGCATCCATTCATAGGACAACTATATTTTCTGAATGCAGCCACCTAGTGTGTTGCCATTTTGCCTATCTCTGTATATTATGTGCACTGTCATTTTATTACTTTTTTTATGTAATGTATAATTTGTTGTCCACTAGGTGACAAATATAAAGAAGACTTTGAAAGCCACAGCTTCCTCAACTGCTCAGGACACTGACCAGCACCTTGCGGAACGGGAAGGGCCCCCCCCTTGCTGAACAACAACAGCCCAGCCCACCAAAAGATGTCGAAGGTTAAAGGTCTAGTCTCCAGTCGCCACTAGTGAACCTAAGAACAGGGAGGAGGCTCCAGGGGTACACACCTGCTCCTGGATTGTTTACAGACTTAACCACACACCACCATTGTGTCAGCCTCTTTCTACCCAAAACCCTCGGAGACCCTGCCTGCTAGGAGGGACAATAAACCCATTAGCGCTAACAATGCTGTGACCCAGCTCAGTTTGCGAATAGTCCTGGCAGATCAGGACATGTTGCCTAAATCTTTGTGGATCCTTCTCGCTGCTGGAGAGGTTTGTTGTGTTAAGTTACTGCAAGGCACAGCGGGCTTCTCTGTCAGAGAGAGGATTACAGAAATGGCTGCTTATTGCTGCGTGGTTATAAAATCCCAGGTGACTTTGGTCCTGTCATCTCTCTGGAGATTTAACATGTGCAGTAGGGACAGGTCTGTATAGTAGGTTTTACTATTTTCTTAAATGTACCCTCTTGAAACATTATTTTTTTCAGGAAATTGTATTTTCTTTCCTCCAATGTCAGGCAACCAACTTTTGACTTCTACAAGAAATATTCTAATAATTGAAAGTCTCTGGGTAAGGGGAGATAGAAACTCCAGCTTTAAAAGCACTTTTTTTTCTTGTATACCTAAACAATGTAAGAGGTTTAAATCAATATTGAACATCCTGCTTAGTCTCTAAAGTGAGCAGAAGGGAATAACATGTAAATACATAAAGCATATATGTATGTGCTGCTTCCATCAGCAAAGCCTTAGAATCATCCAGAGGAGGCATGCATTGATGCTAAGGTATACGAACAAACTCTTTGGCCTCTTTCCCAGCTAATCCATTTTTTTGGACCTTAAGTGTTCTTTGGGGATTTCACAGACAAGGTTCACCTTTGATAAGATACCTCTCTGCAGTATCGTACATCTGTTTCTGATTCGGGCAGCGTGGTTCCATTATCTTGATATACACTGTTTCCCTCTCTGTGCATCTAAATCTCCAAATAATTATTAAAAAAATACAAATCTGGGTATCGTTTTATTTCATTTATGTGGAAATGATGAACAACCCGTTTGCATATTTTGGGATGCAATGGAAGTGAAGTGATATTTTGTCACCATCCATTGTAGCTGAATAAATAACATATAAGTGTAGCAGATATTACTTTTCATTATTGAGATATTTATATAATTAAAAGGCATTGGTGAACTGTGATTTTAATTATGGAGTGTGAAAAAAACCTTAAATTAGAGCAGAACACGGGGAATATCTAGGAAATATACTTAAAATGGGACTACACTGCATCTGAGCACCACAAAGAGAAATTTTTATTTAATTCATTTTTCAAATCCAGCTCTCCCATCCATCCATGTCTCCATGCTTTGTTTTGCTGAAAAATTACTATGAAAAATACCCCCTAGCATTTCTGGCTGTGGCCATCTTGAGTAAGGGCAGATGATTCATGTAGCATGTTACTTCCTGTAATCCATCTGCTCTTAGCTCAGGCTTGCAGACAAAACAATGTACTTAGCTGAGAAAACCCCTCTTCCCTGCTTCCCCTTCTGAAGACCCCTTGGATGTATGCTATCATTTGCCTAGGCATGAAAACCAGGAAGTAACTGAAGAAATGTAAAAAGAAAAAAAAAATTAAAACATTTTAATATAATATACTTTCCTATCTATTTACTAATGCTTGCAGCATAAGGATTAACAATAGTCCATGTTGACTGAGAGAGTGAAATTCCACTTTAACTTGATTGTCACTTCCATCTAAACTATATAAATGAAGTCAAGTTGGACCCAAAAAGAAAATTCTAATTCCCATTTTTGTTTAACAATGTAGCAACTGCCTCCTGTACTTTTACTGCTACGGGGCAGCCGCGTTGCAACAAAATCATGCATTTATACATGATTTTATATTTCTGGGTAGCTGCCCACCCGGCTGCACTGTCGCTGGCTCGAACAGGAGCCAGTCAGTGGGTGCCGGCCAATGATTTCATGGCCAGCACCTGCTGATTGCCAGAGCGGATCTCAGGAGAGAGATCTGTGTTGGCAAACAACACAGATCTTTCTATTGTCCACTGGAATGTAGCGTTTTTTTATCTCCTTGAAAAGCAGGAAATAAAAACTGACACATCCCTTTGAAAAAAAAATTCACATGGTATAAACACTTGTCACACAGTTAACCTATTGATTGCCCCAGATGTTAACCCCTTCCCAGCCAGTGTCATTAGTACAGTGGTCAGTGTATATTATTAGAACTGATCACTGTATTAATGGAGATGTCCGTTTCAGTTCCCACAAAGTGTCCGATTTCCCACTGCACTATCACAGTCCCGTTATAAGTCGCTGATCGCTGCCATTACTCATATAGAAAAAAATAAATTCTAGTTTTATATCCCATATTTTGTGCTATAACTTTCATGCAAACCAATTCATTTACACTTATTGGAACTTTTTTTGTTTTCAACAAAAAATATGTAGCAGAATACATTTTGGGCTATATTTTAAAAATGTTTTAATTGGATATGTTTTATAGCAGAAGTGTAAAAAAAAAAAAAGTGTGTGTGTGTGATTTTGGTTCTTTTTTTATTTTTAGTGCAAAAAATAAAAACCCAGTGGTGATCAAATACCACCGAAAGAGAGCTGTTTTTGTGTAAATAAAAAATAATAATAAATATATATATGAGATCTATATTACGTTTGGTTACAGTGTTGCATGACCACGCAATTGTCCATTAAAATAACACCATGCGGCATAGCAAGAAATGGCCTGGTCAGGAAGGGGGGTAAAATCTTCCAGAGCGCAAGTGGTTAATTCTTCCCCAACCCAAGGAAAAAAAAAACAGCAGCAGCAACTGGTCTTCATCTGGAGTTTTTATTTCCTGTCAGTCAGGTGTAGAGCTAGATACAACTAGATACAAGACACTAAAATTGTTCTATTCAGCTTCACCTATTTTGTAAACCTAAAAGCTAAAAATTTGAATGACTGGCTAAGATTGATGACTGTTTTAACATTTAATCATTTCAAGACTGATTCATGATTGGGGGGGGGGGGGGGGGGGCAGGAGACTAGATGGCCATATTTGTCCAAAATGTACTATTCACAAAAGGCTTGAGTTATTAAAGGAAAATAAAACTGTCCACTTTGTAAGAGAACTTGCCCCAGAGCTTAGTGAATGTTTTATTTTGCAAAGATTAATCATTTGCAAGGGATATTAACAAATGCATTTTTTGCTTGCACATGATTGCATGATGGAAATCAGCAGAGCTTCACCTCATTCACTAAGCCCTGGGCCAAGTTCCCTTACAAAGTTAACAGCCTATCTGCCTTTAGTAAATCAACCCCAAAGACTGCAGGTGTTTTTATCATAAAAATGAAGAGACTGCACACAGCCGTGTAAAACTGTCCAGCAGGAGGGCCATTTTTGCAAGGCTTAGACTAATTTATTGGTAGGTATATAGAAAAATGTAACACATTTTATTTACATATAAGGGCAGGCAGCAGCAAATATGTGTTGAAAATCATATGGGAAAGAGTTGGCAGCAAAAGATGTACTAAAGGCAAAACGTTTTTTCATTTTTGGATAGAGTAAGGGGGTTTATAATCCGTGTTTGTTTGTGTTTGTTTTTTTTTTACTGTTTACCATTTAGGAAATGGGAAAGGGATTTCCCTTCACTTCTTTCCATAGCCAAAACAGGAAGTGAAAGGGAATCCCTGGTTGTCCCCATTGGAAGACTTCCCACTTATTACTGTTTTGATAATCACCCAAAATATGGGGTATTCTTTTACTTTTCTCTTTTGGTAATGAAGGGAAAACATGACAAATAGAAGGGGTGAATCTCCCTAAAGCGAGCACAGACAGCAATAGAAACCTAATAGATGTTCTAATCCATCTCCACTCTCTAAAACTAAAAAAAAAAAGTCTTGCATTTACCTATGCTTTAACCCTTTCGCTGCCAGGACTGTATGCCTTGTGAACCTGACAGCAGCAGGTTTTTATACACAATCCAGTGGCTGCGGCCACTGGGATTGTGTATAAAATTGAAGCAGTCAGACGGCCCCGCTGATTGCTTCCACAGCACTCCCGTTTCTGGGGCTGGGGGACATTAGAGAGGCAGCCTGTAGGACATCGACTTCACAGTCAATGTCCTCCTACAGACTGCCTCTCTGGAGATAATGTTTGTGGCAAGTATATACAATTTTTTTTTTTTTTTTTTTTTTTTTTTTTTTACACATTTATTATATGTATTATTGACTTTTATTTAAAATTTCTATTTACATTTTTAATGATTTGTTCATGCTTGTGTATGTTTCACCATTACAGGGATGACCTTAAAAGGTAAATCAATAAAAATTGTAAATAGAAATGTGATGATGTCAGTAATATAATGTGTAAAAAAAAAAAAAAAAAAAAAAAAAAAAAAAAAAAGTGGGCTGAACTCTGCACTACAATAATAATAATAAAAAAAACCCTATTGGGAGGTGTGCAGCAGCAAAAAAAATAGTGTGTGTGTGTGTGGGTGTGTGTGTTTCATCCATGAAAAGGTAAAGCAAATAGGGACAACTTTTGTGGTTTAACTATTGCACGGTCATGCAACATTGTACCCACATGACATTTTTAACTTTTTCACACAAATAGAGCTTTCTTTTGGTCATATTTAATCACCACTGAGTTTTTTTTTTTGTTAAATAAAAAAAGACCAAAACATTTGAGGTACAAATGTGCTTTTCTTTGTTTTCAGTTATAAAATTTTCCAAATAAATAATTATTCCTCATAAATTTAAGCCAAAATGTATTCTGCTACATTACTTTACTTTGTTGAAAATAACCCAAATCAGTGTTTATTTAGTCAGTAGGAAAGTTATACAGTCCACTAACTATGGGATATATCTGAAAATTGATCAATCCCCACAGTCTATCTAATTTCCGGAGGCCCAAAATGTCAAGACAGTACAGATCCCCCAAATTACTTCCTTTTGGAAAGTAAACAGTCCAAGGTATTTAGTAGGAGGCAGGGCAAGTTGTTTTTTTTTTTTTTTAAGT